AGGTCACCCTGGCTGGCTGCCCATCCACACATTTATGTCTGCCTTTTGAGTGTTTTCAGAAGCCCATTAAATTGTGCCTTGGCAGGCCAGACGCATTCAACTCGCCCTAAGACCCAAAGAGAGAAGGTTATCAAATTCCCTCATCTTTGCCAGACATACAAAGCTTGAAGTTCTCTACCCCTGCGAGGAAGCTATGCAGTTGCACAAAGTAAGATGTTAGAACTTGTAAACATGTCATACAATATTGTAATACGCCTGTGGGGCACGGAGACGCACAAAGTTGGGAGGGCCCCAGGACAGTGAGCCTGCCCTCCTGATGGAGCTGTCTTAAGGCAATTTCTTTCTCTTTTTGAGACAACACGATTGGAATTAGCTTCCATAAAGAGCCTGACACCACTTTCTTAAATCAACTGGTTTTGACACTTTTCTTTATATGACCTCCAGTGGATCTTCTTGGCTGGAAGAGGAAAAACAGGGCATGACACTCTTGCACCTTCTACTGGATAACAACAGAAAAGAGGAAAAGAGAGAGAAAAAGTTAAGTTTTACCCTATAGGTAAGATACAGAAAATGCTCACTACAACAAACTTCCACATATTTCCATCCTTCAGAGAAGATGCTTATTTAAGTGCCTTTCCCACTGTCCCATTCCAGCGAGGTGCTTTCTCTTTGCAACCCTAGATCCTGAGCTACAGCTTCAGAGCAGAGCAGAATTGTGCCCACCAGTGATGAGTTTTCCACGACTCGCAATGAGATGACAATGCATCACTCCGAGCATGCAATTAAACCAACACACATAGCGTGAAAGTAAAGTTCATTCACTGAAAACAATCTGAGGGAATGAGATTTGTAACATGAGCAGAAATACAGTAATCAAGGACCAAAATTACACTTAAAATATACATACACAAAATCACAACTACTCTGGACACGAAATAATGCAAACTAACCTTGCCAGGAATGAGCTGCAAAATATCTTCATTTTCTCATACAGTGAAACCCTGATAAAATCACAACTGTTAAGGTCATACAGTATATCAGGTGGAATCACAGTCTTTAGAACTCCATTATTAATGCACACAACCTCACAATCAAAGAGGATAAGAGCACAGTTCCCAGATGCCAATGATTTGATCCTATCTTATTTGGCTGTTTACATTTAAATAATGTGGCCGTATAAATTTAAATAATAAGAACCACCAACAGATGGAATGTAGTGAAATAAAGGTGCCTTGCACGAGACCCTGAACATATACTACACTGTGCTTTACAATTTATTTGAGCAGAGCTCATATTAAAAAAAAGGGGGGGAAAGAGAAAAAAAAAGACTCATTTCTTCTGCCATTATGGAAATAAAAGGACTAGTGCTTTAGTTCATTGCTAGCACTGCCAAAGAAACATGCAGTTCTCTAACCTCCAGTACAATGTACCCATAAGGTACCAAGCATCAAAGCATATTAAAAGATATTAACTGCATATTTGCTTATGAACAAGATAAAAAGCTGTAGGGCCTCCAGGTTCTCAAGCTGTGAGTGGAACAGCTTTGCAATTTGCCTGCAAAACTGCATTTTGATCTTAATGAATATAAAATGGCTGCCATTAAAAGTAAAACAGATTATTTCAGGTCTTTTAGGGCCCATAGCTCTTTGACGGTCTTGGAGGGGCACTATGATCTTTCATTAAAATCTCACAGCAGGACTCCCTCACCAGCAAATCAAGCCTTGCAGTCGAGGAGATTGGCTACATTTAAAAGTAATTTTCAGAAATCTACACAGATTTTCAATTTGGTAATGAAAGCCATAAGAGATGCAGGCAGCATTTTGTTGAATATTGTTACTAATCCAGTGCTCACATTCGTTAGAAATTAAACTGCCCCGTAACTATCACACTGATGGCAGCCTGCCATTTCAGCTCAGTTGTAAACTCCATTTGTTAATGAGTAGCATGTGCTAATTGTTGTCAGCAGCCCTGCCATACATCCCTTCCGTAACAACATATTTTACCTGCTGAAAGGTGTTACCTCTTGCACTGTCAGCATCCGCTTTAAGAGAAGAAATCTCAGAATAGGAGGAAAAAAGAAATAGGTTCAGTTTCATTTGGAATAGCATGAAGTTGAAAGCATACATCTTCATATTGATATCCAGCCCCTCCTAGCACCTCACCCTGCATATGCTACTTCTAACATTAATACATTAAGGTAAGACAAAGAAAGATGCTGTACGCTATAATGGCACAGGGAACAACAGAGGTAAATTCTCTATATTTTAAAGTAAAGGATGCAGCTCCCAGTAAAATGAAGTTGAAAGGTTTGAAAAGTTAGAGTGATCATATCTCATTATTGCAAACAATGTAAAGGGGGGATTAAAACAAAACCTGACCTGGAACTGCGATGAAGCTGGACTGGGACGAGAAAGACTGAGGAAGTTAGTGAGAGCTGATGACTGTGCTGCCCTCAGGTGGAAGGTCTTGTCGGGAGGGGGAGGCCTCCACTTACAGTGTAAACCCAGAAAAATAAAGATAATAACAATAAAAGAAATAAAAGTCAGCTTTAGTGGATGCAACAAACAAAGATACTCCGAAGTGTGAGCAAGAAGGGTTATAATACATGAATCCTCAAATACACCAAATGTGAATTGAATTATAGCAGAAGAAAACCATTTTCAGCAAGTGAATTGTAAATTGGGTTTGTCTCCAGTTCATATTTGAAATGCAAGGTTGATGCTTGGCTTTTCATTTGATTTTTTAGCTGGGGGGATTCTAAGGGAAAATACTGACTTGAAATAACTAAAGCTTTATAGAAGAGCTCTAACACACACACTGTGTGACTGACACACGTTCTCTGAAGCGTGTTTAGTATCCCTGCATCGAGCAGATTAGTTGTTCAACTGCCACAAGCGACAATATCGTATATTGCTGCTTGTTTAAAGTTATTCAAATCAGATCTGTACACATACATGGGGTCTTTTAAAACAAACAGGGTTTTCCTCCAGTCTGCAGGAGCAATCAGAAAGCAGCGATATCATGGGTATTCTGCCTGACAGGAAACTGTCTGGTGAACTTCCTCTTTGTGCTCATTCAGGAATGGAGTACAAGGACTTTCCTGGGGGTTACAAGGGGTGCACAAAGTACCCACAACATCTCTACAGTAACAAGACACTTTTCCACTCCAGGGTAGCCAGCTCATCGGGGTTACAGCATCCCTCAGATTGCTCTAAATGGAGTCCAAAGCAGAAAATCAGCAACTTCAGTTTCAAACCACGCATGAATGATTAACCACCACATCCAAGTGACTGGAAAGACGAAATATGAGGGATCAGTCCAATCTGCTGGAATCTGAAATGGTAATTTTTTTCCCAGTTTCTTGCTTTTTTTTTTTTTTTTTGGCCAGAAGCGGTTAGCTGGAATACCTTTACATGTCATTTTAGAGCTTTCTCACCAGCTTGGTTTCTACCATTTTAATTTTGAGAACAGATAATTTTTTCAAAGCAAAAAGACAGCAACAAAAATGTGCTGCCGGTTTGATTTTGGGGTTGGATCTCCCATTTTTTCCACTTAGCTGAACATTGCAGTTTCCAATACGTAGCAGCCCACAGAGCAATATGGAGTCTCCTTTTTCATCTGCAACCCCTGCAGAAGCAGCAGGTGAATCTGCAGAACACCAGTTTGTACAAGCTAAGACAGAGAAACGCTTTGCTGACTTTGGCAGAAACACCCACTAACCTAATCTGGGCTACTCAGATAGGCAAGCTCAGCTTAGCTTAGACTGAACCACCTATGTGCTTGAGCTTACACCAAAGGATGGTGAAGCTTTGCCTTTTTCCCTTGACATACTCTGTAGATCAACTGTAAACCCACAGTGCTTAGTGACTTGTGTCCAAACTGGTCCAGAGAAGATGGTGTTTGAGTGCAGACAGGAAACACAGTGCTCTCATCTATTTCACATATATATATACATATATATATAAGGCTATACTGCACCTTTAAACTGGTAGCAGTGTAGCTGTGGCAGTGCTGAGATATATACATGCTTCCAAAAGTACAAGCCGAAAGCAGCGTTAATATTGATACTTCCCCTGTGATGAGATGTCTGCAAGGCCATCTGCATACAGTGGACTTCAGGCACACTGATTTCAGTCACATCTTTACCTGCGTTGCAGATGCACCCCAAAACCACTTCTGCTAAACCAAACCATGCAAAGGTGCTTTGAGTGCAAGCTCGAAAGTGTGACTGGGACTTAGTGCAGTGTTGCTAACATGCTGTAAATTCACACCTTAGCTTGATGCATGCTAATATCCCTGTGAATGGGGATGAGAGAAAGGCAACAGTCCTGCAGGTTCCTGAGCACATTGATAAATTCAAACATATGGTTCAGGCCCAACATGTTTGGGAACTTACACAGTTGGTGCTGGCATTGCTATTATTAGCCTTCACAAGAGTGTTTCCAGTGAAGGTACTGATGAGAACAAAGGGGCAGCCACATGAATAAAGTTCTGGAAGGTTAGCTTTTAAATTAAATTCCTTCTTCTAAAATAACTCATCAATTTCTACGATTAAAAAATATTCCTCTTTTTTTTTTCTCCTTCCGATGTTACCTTTCTGGAAGCAAATAGCCCTAACTACACCTTTGCAAACTTGATCTTCCTGCACAAAGATGTGTATTAATGACTATCTCTGACAGTCAGCGATCCATTTTGAGAGACCTAGGAGAAGTGACACACCTTATACCTTTTTACATAAAGGCAAGTACATAAAAAATCACTTCCTTTTTATGTATGCGTCACGTTCTGAAATAATGTGGCTATAAAAAACCTAAAAATCATGTTTATCTTACCCCTATGCAGGAAAGGCATTCATTAGATTAATTTTCTAGTGTAATTTCCTAGGTAAAAAAAGCTCCATTGGTTTAAACATGGCCTACATTTAAAAACGTGACCAAAAAACTCTGAGTAGTTTGGGCTTTTCCGTTCTCTATCTATTCCCTAATCCCTCTCACAGGAGCTTTCCATTCACACATTTTGCATCCAGATGTTACTGCTAGTTGTGGAACTTGGTGAATTAGCTCAGGATTTTGAATGCCATTTCACATTCCTGAGGAAACAGGCCCTCCTGAAGAATTAGCTGTCTTAAGTAGAGTAGCTGGCAATGAGGGAGGAGGAGAGAACAGGAGCAGGGTCAAAAGGAACGGGAAGAGGAATGGAGAGCCATATAAACTTATAAGTAAGACCCTCCCATGGTGAGAATTCTAACTAAACAGTAGGAGAACGGAGCACATACAGCTGGGGTGCAGCATGGCATAATCAAACTCACGTCTTCTAACCACCAGATTTTGCTTTCCTCTTTTCCACACCCTTTAGCAATGCTTTTAACTGAGGTTTTCTAACCAGTCCCATCCAAAAGGAAAACGGAACAAACTAAAAGCTGAGCCAAGTGTCAGAAACGTTTCAGAGGGATACAACACCTTCCTGACCTACACAACTGCACACACAATCTCTTTGCATCCTGATGGGTAACCCAATGTTGCCACTTATTGCTTGATCTGGTCTCCAAGTTTTACTTTGAGTATGGTCCCACTGAAGTGATGAAAACTCCCAACATGACCAAATCTAATACTTTAGATTCACTAAATCACGTGGATTCACTCTGGATTCATGAGTTCAGATTTTCCTTGGTGGAAGGTTTACCAGACAAGCAGCAGCCAAACAGGGACTGTGTACAGAAGGTAAACTAGATCTCACTGAAGTGTATGGCCAAAATCTGACTTCAATAGGGACCAAATTTTACCTTACAACCTGCCAAAAGAAAGAGAGGGAAAGAGTAATATCAAACATTATTGAGACAGAAAATGTTTTGGAGCTCAAAAGCTACAAAATAAGAAATTTGTTCTTACCTCCCCAAAATGGCCCAAATCTACCCTATATTTTTAATTCTGTGGTTAAATCAGCACAAAAAGGTCTACCATCTGATACCTGTCTGATACATAATAGTGGATGTTTAAACAGAAACTGAAAAACTGTATTTACGTCTATGAAATTAGGAAAACATCAGGAAAATACTTCTTTTTCTTATTCAATCTCCTGCACTCAGTGGACCTCAAACCAGCCAGGTCCACAGCTTCCCAAACAAGTCCAAGGTCCACAGTCTGTAACAGTGCTTGCTACCACTCTAAAACACAATGAATCTTTCTGGATGTATTTCAAACCTGTTTTTTCTTCCTGCTACACAGTTGTCTGCAGACAGTCTAGTTTTTTTCCAACCTTATCTATTATTCTGCAAAAAGAATTATTTCTATAGAAGCTAATGCTTCTTTTCCCCAACTTTTTATCATCAAGGTGACTTATAAACAGCTGCAATAAAAATGGTTGTGCATTGGGGTTTTCCCCCCCCCCCATACAAAAGCATTCTCAGTAATGTTTCAGAGAGAGCAGAGGCACTAAAAGATACGTGACATTCATAGATTTCACCCCTGGAGCCACAAAAGCCACACTAGCAATTTCTTCATTTGACCAAAATGAATGGTCATCACAAAAACAAATGTAAGTTTGGTATCACTGATTTGGCTGAGACAGCTTAGGGGCTTGAACTTAATAGACTTCCTCTGACAGATTAGGATCTTCTGGTACGTCTGCATCATCCTGTCACAGCAGATAGCCAAGTCCAAACCACAGGCATGGCACTGCCCTTGATCCATAACCTTCGAATACAAAATAACTGGCTAAAGAATGTAATAAGACTCCCAAGGAAATACCTTTGAAGACAGTATTCATTTTGCTTGGTGGGCTTTTATAGAGGGGGCAAAAAAGAAGACAATTAAGCATTAAGAACTGATTGATGCTTGAACAAAATGCCTAACAGTAAAAGCACATTTCTATATTCCAAAGGACCAGGCAAAGCTATCCCTAAGAAGGGATTAACTGCTATCAGATGATATTACTACTGGATTAATGGTGTTTCACATTCACTATATTTATATATTAAAAAAATAATAAAAAGATCTCTTTTAAAGAGGATATAAGTGATTTGTATAAAACCTAAATGCCCCAAAACTAGATTTTATTTTTATGGCAACGTGATGGATAGTATTCTCTTCATTTAGGCATCTTTAATTGAAGTAATTTTCCCCCCTTTGTCTGAAACCAGCCCTTGCATTTCAAGCCCATTGTTTGGAGAGTACCACAGCCCATGAAAACAGGAAAGCAGTGTGTGACTCCAGAACTGATGCTTTATATTCCAGTGGATATTTTAAGCTGTTCTGACTTGAGAGAGTTGTTTTTGTAACAGATATACTAAAGGTGATCATTTGACTTTATTGCTAGTCATTGCTGACTGAAATATTTTGCCAGATGAAAGTAATTACTATGACTATATTGCTTTTCTACCCTGTTCAGTGTATTGTAACTCAGATATTCAGAGTGTGAAATTCTGGATGCTCACTTGCAAAAAGAAAGTCACATTGTGCTGTGCTCTGGCCTTAATTACGTAAAGCCCATATAGATGTTATCCAGTTTCCTTCCCTACCCGTGTTATCTTATATCTACCAAAGGTTACACAGAAACTCCAACCTTGATATAGAACTGTGCAGATGACAAAGCTCAACACCATACTGAAATATTTGTGTTACAAATGAGAGAACAAGAAGCTGTTTCGACCAGAACTGAATCACTCAGGTCAACTTTTAAAGAGGATGTAAGAAACAGCTATATCCTCATTCAACATTAGTTGCTACCAGCCAAAATTATGCACTAGAGAAAACAATTTGTTGAGACATCCTCAGGATTCTATCCCCTGGAGGTGGGAAACAGGCCTGTGTTTCCCCCACAAAGTCACATCTGCTTGCAGTGGACTTTTTTCAATTCAAGCCATAGTAATATGCGCACAATAAACTCACTGTTATAAATATTTACCATAGTATTCATCATCTTGGTTTTCCTGCTACCCTAACCAGCAGCCACGCTACCATAAATCAGGGGAAGTATTCTGCAGGAGCTGCAAGCTGCTGTCATTGTATTCCTGGAAACAGCCATCCAAGAGGAGACAAATGACACAGGAGACAACAGGAATTGTGGTAGACTCCACATTTCAAACTGCTACATACCTTCTACTCCACTTACAAGGTAAACGTGGCATTCTGGGTGGTAGTAGTAGCAATGTATCTGGCCACAAGAAGGCTTCTGGGTTTATCTTGATGGCAGCTTTTCAGTATGAGCCAGCAGTGTGCGCTTGCAGCCCAGAAAGCAACCGTATCCTGGGCTGCATCAAAAGGAGTGACCAGCAGGTCGAAGGAGGTAATCCTGCCCCTTTATTCTGCTCTCGTGAGACCTCACCTGGAGTATTGTGTGCAGTTCTGGTGTCCTCAACATAAAAAGGACATGGATCTGTTGGAACAAGCCCAGAGGAGGCCACGAGGATGATCAGGGGCTGGAGCACCTCCCATATGAAGATAGGCTGAGAAAGTTGGGACTGTTCAGCCTGGAGAAGAGAAGGCTGCATGGAGACCTCAGAGCAGCCTTCCAGTATCTGAAGGGGGAATATAGGGGTGCTGGGGATGGACTCTTCATTAGGGACTGAAGTGATAGGACAAGGGGTAATGGGTTAAAACTTAAACAGAGGAAGTTTAGACTGGATATAAGGAGGAAATTCTTTCCTGTGAGGGTGGTGAGGCACTGGAATGGGTTGCCCAGGGAGGTTGTGAATGCTCCATCCCTGGCAGTGTTCAAGGCCAGGTTGGACGAGGCCTTGAGTAATATGGTTTAGAGCAAGGTGTCCCTGCCCATGGCAGGGGGGTTGGAACTTGATGATCTTAAGGTCCTTTCCAACCCTAACTATTCTATGATTCTATCTAGGAGAAGCTACACTTAAAGGAGTGAGAGATGAACCCAAACTCATGAAAAAAACCCTCTTTCAAACACACACACACAACTCCTTCTCTCTTTCTTTCTCTCTTGCCATGAATGACCAGTATCGGCAAGTGGCAGTGAAGTTACACTGTGTGAACAACATTTTCCTGCCAAAATTACAGATGTCCATCTCAAAACTCGCTGTCTTCCCAAAACAGAGGCCTACACAACTGCTACCATCCCAACCTGTGACATCTCCAGAAAACGGCACAGCAGTCCCATTCATCGACACTGGATGAGGGTAAGAAGATTCTAACTTCCCGATTGCTCTGTAGCCTTTAACTATCTCTATGACGTCAACCACTGTGAGCCCAAGTACAGCTTCATGATGGCTGCATGAATTTCAGCTGCATTCAGTAAGGTTCTACCTAAGGAATGTAACAGCATTGGAATAAAGAAACTAGGCAAACCAACAGACAGCTTAAAACTAAGATGAGGTGTTTCTGCATGCAGAGCATTCGTTTGCTTAAGCTGATATCTCCATTTCTTTGCCTTAAAAGAAAAGTAATAATCTTATCCTGGTTATCTGAAATATCATGAACTGTAAGTGTGCTTCAAAGGAACTAATCACAGCTACCATAAAGCAAAACCTCACTCCTTCTTGTTGCATTCTCTGCTAGGCTCCATCCACACTCAATAGTGCTAGAAACGGGGTAGTGGAGGATGTATTTACCCACATGATTGTGGTATTTCACAACAGAGTTTCTGTAGTCACTCAGCCTCCAAACATCTATCTACTGTAAATGCATTAATCTCAACCCTTAGCAGGTAGGACTTTAAATCAGTTTTTCTTCTGACATATTTCCATCAGTATTAGTTGTTATTAAAGCAAACTAAAATAAGATTTCTTACAAAAGGTAATTAAGCAGTATAATATAGTAATAAGTGGAATGAACAATATGGAGATGTACAAAAATATATGCCTGGTGCAGTAGCGGACTGGTGTTTCAGGGGATTAACAATTATGATCACCAGTCCTCTTCTGTTTCTGTAATACTCCACACAATCTTTTTTAAATTACTTTATTAACCTTTCCTCCTAGCACAGAAGTGCCCGATTATAGATAATATTTCAAAATCATCTGAAGTGTAAGTGTGTTTGATTTGCTCAGTAATTATTTGTCTACTTTATTACATTGACCAAGCACACAAGCTCCTTGACCAGTTTTATTTCAAGTCCAGTTAAGAACAGGGTCGTATCACTTTGTGCAGTCGCTCCCTTTGGGCCCCAGAGTACCTGAAATTTCATATGGGAGCCAGTAACTTGGGCGTGAGCATCTCCCCCTTTAACCATGCAGGAATCGGTCAGTGTGATGGCATCTGAGGTTAAGAGGTCTGTTCATAAGGGGAAGGCTTTAGTGCACGCACGAAAGAAGTTTATTTGCTGTACTGCAGACCAAAGACATTCAAGCACAAGCATGAAAATTTGCCTTTCTAAACCTAAAAGGGTGTAAAAACCCAATATATTTGTCAATGCATGCTCTTTCATGATAATTTATTCCCAGCATTTCACACAACACATTATTTCAATTTGGATCTGAAGTATTAGCCCATTACCAGCTCCGCTACTATCTGCAGCTTCATGCTAAACATATGGTGATCACAGACAAATATGCACTGCTTAAAACACAGGCCTGGAGAAAAACAAGCGAGTATGAAAATCAAAACTGCAATGGAAAAAAAAGTTTTCCTGCTCTAACTCTGCAGCTTTGGAGGAAAGGAAAATAATATTTACATTTTTTTTCCCCACAGATGAAAATGCAATGAGATGAAACACGGTACGCAGCTTATTCCTGAGGGCCACCACTTGGATAAAAGCGTAAAGCCTGGGGACTTTGTTTACTGTCCACAATCAACAAATGCTGAAATCTCCATATGCAGCAGGTTTCTAAAGCTCTGTTAGTAATACTGTATATTGCTGGTCAACTCAGTCACCCATAGAATTACAGTGGAGGGTATGGATGCCAGTATTTTAGACCCAAACCGAGCATAAAAAACCACAAAGTAAAATTCAGTGTCAGCACAAAGTTGACAGCGAATGATTATAACAGCTTCGAAGCTTGAAAAAGAGTGTAAATAACTAGGATCCCCCGCGGGCTCACTCAGCCTGCATACATAACAACTGTGATGGACAGCCACTATAGTAAAGTACAAGGGGAAAAAAAAAGTCACTCTGCAAAGATGCAAAAATTCCTCCTGCAACGAGTCTTAACTGTCACCTTTCTGACTAAATCAGCTACTTTCATAGAGAAAAAGTACCTACTTCGGAAGGTGCACATTTGCAGTACAGGCTGCTACTTGAACACGTAAACCATTAATATACTTCCCAGTGCTAATAAGCCCCAAGAATCTTTATTTCTTTACAACAAATGATTCAAAGCTACACGTTACCAATTCCTTTCTCTCAGCCATCACCCAATTAACTACAGTAGAGAGACAACCCAGACCAATGAGCAAAACAATTTCAAACAAGGCATATACATGGACATGAGAATGCAAATAGCCTTATCTACCAAACATCACCACCCTTTGTTGCTCCTACAGATGTACATACAGAAGGACACATAGTAATGGCTTTAAAGTGCCCACAAACTGCAAGTGGGTAGAGGGATGGGGTCCTCAGACTCTGTCAGCCATGTGACAGCACTGTGATTATGTGGTCCCTTCACCGTTCCTGGCTGTAAGCTGGGAGCAAGGGAAACAGGAATTAACCATAAACACCAGCATATGCCTACAAATTACTGCATTTTTTAAACTCAATTAGCAAGCAAACTACTTCATTAACTAACTCTTTTTTCCCCCATTATTTATTCCATGCAAGCTTTCAATTTTGGATTTAAAAAATCCCTGATATTAAAACGTTCCTCTTTACCCATTTAGGTTATATTTATCTGAAATTCGGTCGTTGCCTTGATACCAGCTGTTGGTCATTGGACTATTCATTCTGAGAGCTTGATTTTAATTTAAGCTAGGAGCTTGTAAATATAAAACAGAGACACTTGTGATGATCAGGCAATATCTACTGAGGAAAAACAAGTACATCTAGCAAACAGAAAAATTCTCTCATGAGAATGTAAAACCCCATGATTAAGTTCATGGTAAGCTACGGAAAACCAGAACTTCTGCTTTTCCATGATACTAAATGCTTTCTTCCTTCACTGAGCATAGAGAGAGGACCAAGTGCTCAACACTTTGCAGGCTGTGCTCATCAACTTGGTGAATCAGACATGTAAATGATGGGTTTATAATTTCATGAAGTGAAAAACTCACTACTGGGGCTCTGAAAATCCTGAATATGTTCAAGGATGACCCTCAGCAACGGGCTTCATTTCACCCATAGCTATACAATCCTTATGTTTTGCTGGCACTTTTTGATCTTTCTGCTGCTGTTTATTCAGAAGCTTGCAATTTCTTTCCTCACTTGAAAGAACAGTGATAACCAAAGGGCATTTCTGAAAGCCAGCACAGATGCAACTATTTGGTTTAGGCCATTTTGTTTTCTTTGTGCTGTTAAAAAGTGTCACATGCTGGGAATGTTCCCTCAAAAAATGAATTAGACCATGTGAATGGTGGGATAGGTTCACATTGCACAAACTTCTGCAGTGGGATCCTGTTCAAGGAGATACAAGTCTCTACATGACAGTTGACTTGGCTGAAATAGCAAATGAAGGTGGGCACCCAGTGCTCCGGTTGTGGGCTGTTAAGTATACACTGACTGACAAGGCTAGCTCAGTAGACAGCCTTAAGTAGTCCTCTGCATCACAGCTTACCTGCATGAAAGTGGCAAAATAATTACTGGCCTATTAAGAACAGCTTTTTAGTTCCTTTAGAAAGAAGCCAGGTTTAGAAGATTAAAGATATGGAAATTCTGCCCAATTTCACAATTTACATCTGACCTGGCAGTTGCTGTTCCAACCGAAAGAAGCTGATTGTTCCTTTTATGTTTCATCTTGACACCACCATAGCAGGCTTAAGAATGTGGGACAATAATGAAAATGCATCTGCTTTGAAACCAGTCTTACTAAATCCACTGACTACAGGCAAGTTATTGCTGACTTGGGCCAGAGGCCTTTGCAAAACTCTTAGAATAACAACAGGATACAGCAGCAGCAGAATTAAACAGCTGTATTTATAGCAGAATATTCCACTCTCAAAAGGGAAAATCAAAGCTGTCTTTAAACGTTTCTTCCTAGGAGTGACCAATGGAGCAGCAAGCAAAGCGGTACTTGCGAGCCACGCTAAGCGAAGCTGGATTTGTAATCGCACACAAATAAAAGGCAGAAGATGTAGATACACGAGATATTATTCTGTACCAGAATTAGCATAACCCAGCACATCAGAATATTAAAATTTAACAAGGATTTCAAACCATCCTTGTATCATCAGCAGAACCATGTCACAGGTTTCTTTATGGGTTCAGCAGGATAGGTATAATTGTATCAATATTTTAATGCTTGATGCATATTGTCTATGATAAATTGGTCGCATAAATAAAAAAGCACCAATATTCAATTGCCAATGAAATAATCACACATCCTAGATCTTTATTATATCATGCATTATTTAATTACAATAATCAGAACCCTTCTGAAGGTAAAACAAGATTAAAAAGGTTTTGTTTTATTGGATCTATATATTTGATTTACACTTTATATGTTAGCTTTGCATTAAGAATTTATAAGGCATCAATTCAAAGGGTGATATTACAAGAGTTTATTCCGTTTGTAATTAGCACAGTACTCTTAAAGTACTCTGGCTATGAGAGATAATATTTCAGTATTTTAATGAGCTTTTTAAGTATAATTGATGTAACAATCGTTGAATTACACATTTCTACCTGAAGAATAATGACGGAAACATTTTAATGAGAAATGTAATCATTATTAGCAAATGATCTACTAAACTGCCATTTACTGACATTTAAAAGCTTAATAGCAGAAAACTGGATTTCTGTACATCTGCATCCCTACAGATGCTTATTGTCTCAGGTGCTGGGGCTTCCTGGCATAACTTTCTCTCTTAGGTTTTTGTTGTTATATTTAAGAAAAGCTTTCTTTAACTTGCAATTGTCAGCTTCCTCTGGAAAAACTATGGGGCTTGACATGTATACAGATAATTTAAATAAATTAGCCCCTTTTCAGCCTTCAGCATTTTTGCCAGCATAAAAGGCCTCATTCTTGGGAGTATTCATGCTTGCATCAGCTTGATTTTGATGAATGCCTTGTAACCTCCCTGATAGCACCTTAGACATGGGCGATCCTACTACAGTGTTAACAGCAATGTGCAAAGTTACTACATTTTCTTTATTAAAAAAGTATATATATATTCACACACACACACATATATATATCCCAAACCCCACTTCCCAAAGCTGAATTTTGGGGCAGTCACTGCATGAGGGCCATGAGAAAAACAGTACACCACGGACCTCATCTCCACAGGCATTCACCCACTCAAAGTAGTATTTTTCACACAGTTAACATCCCCTTTTCCACAGATTCTGCTCCATATCACCATCTACCTGTTACTGCACACAAAATCTCTCCTTCCCAGTGCACTATCTGTCTCAGCTCAACCTGACACACAGCAGAAGAACGTCTCCTACTTACAACACTTCTTCCAGCCTTGCAAAAGCTCACACTTTGATTCACGCCATGCTCCTGTGAAAGGTGCTCTTTGGAACACAAAGCAGTTATGAGTTCAGAAACAGTCTCTGCAGAGTAGATGGTAGAGGTGGACAGCAACAGCACATACAGGAATCTGGACATCACAGATGTGATGTGAAACAACCGCTACTGGCGAAACAAACATTTATCAGTCTCTAGGCCCACCTGATGTAGGATGAATGGAGATCCATAAACAGACCCATAAACAAATACAGCACAGTTTGCTCTAGAATAGCACGATGCTATGATATTACACAATAGAAAAACTGAACAAGTCCAGAGGAGGCCACGAGGATGATCAGGGGACTGGAGCACACCCATATGAAGATAGGCTGAGAAAGTTGGGGCTGTTCAGCCTGGAGAAGAGAAGGCTGAGTGGAGACCTCAGAGCAGCCTTCCAGTATCTGAAGGGGGCCTGTAGGGATGCTGGGGAGGGACTCTTCGTTAGGGACTGTAGTGATAGGACAAGGGGCAATGGGTTAAAACTTAAACAGAGGAAGTTTAGATTGGATATAAGGAGGAAGTTCTTTCCTGTTAGGGTGGTGAGGCACTGGAATGGGTTGCCCAGGGAGGTTGTGAATGCTTCATCCCTGGCAGTGTTCAAGGCCAGGTTGGACGAGGCCTTGGGTCATATGGTTTAGTGTAAGGTGTCCCTGCCCATGGCAGGGGGGTTGGAACTGGATGATCTTAAGGTCCTTTCCAACCCTAACTATTCCATGATTCTATGATTCTATGAAAAATCCATTCTTCTGAACTCGCTAGCTCCTGATTTAACCCAGTGTGATTGATACAGTTGTGTGCCAGCAGGCAACTCTTTGCGGTTGGAGGAGGTGGAGGAGGATTTTACTAAATTTAGGAACAATTTATGAAAAACAGCAAAGGGTGACAAATCACAGTGATACACAGACATAAACCAAGCAGCACACACAGGACGTGCTCTTAAAGATACTATTCGGCTTGCACTGAGCTAAGTGGGGGTGGACCTGTTCTTCATTAGGCTGAGATGTTGCCAAACCCAAAGCAACACCAAGCTTTTTTGCTTTTAAATACAGTGCTATCAATACTGAGAGAGGCTTAACTTTTGCAGGGGGAGAAGAAGGGGAGAGAGAAAATTGAGGTTACACTAGGAAAAAATTGCCTTTGTTGCATGTGGGGTCCTAAAAATTCCCTCTTTCTCAACCTTTACAGGGAGAAGAGTCTAGAAAAGGGGCAAGAGAGGCTGGATGTAATGATAACATTTCTCTTGCTAATAATGTTCTTTGCTAGCAGCGATAAAGAAGTCTGAGAAAATCTACAGCCTAATCCAAACAAACACACAGCCCAAACCTATGAAGCTAGAAAAGGATGAAATTAGTCTCCTCATCAGGAAGATCTCCTCTACAGACAGACAATTAGATTCTATTCATAACACCACCTAAGGTAATTCAGACTCATCAAGCAACTTATCTCTGGTACCTGGACTGCCTCATTGCCACGTTTGAAAAGATTAGAAGAGAAACTTCCCTTGAATGAGTAGTAATACAGTAGGAGTCCTTCTGCTCCTTTAGGATGAGGGGGGTTGAAAGAGACAGACAAGAAGGTGTGAGCTCCCAAAAGGATGCTCTACCCCAGATGTTGCCCGCTTGTGTCAGGGCAGCTTTGCTTTCACACACAAAAAAGGAGGACTTGCAGCTCTTCACTGCAGGTCAGGTTCTGCTCCAGATCAAACTCCTGGAAGTTCCAGCAAAGCTTTCTGATGGAATTACTCAGCTCTGTCTTTGCTCGCACGTTGCCTCGTGGTCCCAAAGAGATGGCAGTCTCACTTACTTAAAATGCCTTTCTTCTCAGAGCCAGAGAACGGACAGAGGACTCCAGGAAAAACTAGGAGGAATTAATTCCCTGGGATTCACGCTCCAGTCTAATTCAGAGCTGTCTTAGAGAGGACAGCCCTTTCCTCCTCAATGCTAAAACATCTGCAAAGGAGACACAGCCATGAACAGGTTACCAGCTGTCTCGCAAGGAGCTGCTGGTGACCCTACAGGATCTGTGTTACATCTCCAACCCCTGTGCATCAAGCACAATGAAAAACAGCCTCTGCTCTCCCCTTGCTTGGGAAGAATATTGCTGTACATCTCCACCTGGAGACAAAGCCTTTTAAGATTCCCCAGCATGGCTCTAGCTGGGTCTTCTGAGATCTGTGTGCTTTCCAGGCCAAAACTGACTCATATTCTCATTAAGCAAGGACTGGAGAGGCCTTCATACATAGACTTATTGCACAAAAAGCCTTTATAAAAGTAAAACATGTCTAGAAATTATATCCAATATATATATATCTCCAGGCTCATAAATAAGACACATTCTGAAAATCAGGTGCACTGCTTAGCTGTTGCAATGATTTAAGTGAGCTACCAGGGAATATCAGCAGAAGTGACACAGAAACCAGGAATGGACAAAGGTGAGTAATAAACCCAAGAAAAATCCTTGAGCCAAAAATATATCAAACCCGGCTGCGCTGATGTGTTTTCATTGCTTAGAGATGTAGTGCCATTCTCATCTGGTTAATTCCAATTCAGCGTTCCTTTGATATACCTTTTATAATTTTCAGTCTAATTATAATGAAAATCATTTTTCAATGTAATTCTGTAATAAAAATGTTTCCTTATTTCTCATTACCTAAGAACATGATCTTGCACAGCTACTGAGCATGCTTACAATGTGTACAGTGTAGCTTCCCTTTCTTAGTATTTAATCTCTTCATAGTCTACAGATGTCAAGAGGTTCAGATTAAGCTTGTTAAAGATCTGCTTCACTCTAACTCACTGATGATTATTTATTTAGCAGTTTTATGTAACCCTGTCATTGATAAGCACTCTATTAATTTGCCGAGGGACAAATCAACACTAGTTATTTTTCTACTGGCTATTAGATTCAGTGCTGCTGTTTGTTACAAACCACTTGCCAGTTAATTATAAATTATGGGTCCTCTTTGCCTATATTAATTGATATCTCCTCTGCCTTTGTAATACTAGACAAATAAATTGAAGGCAGGATTTATTAAGCAGCGCATGTCTTCCGTCTCTTGATTAGGATTCTTTACTTTTTAAACATTTATACTTGTTTGTACAGATTTGATGGCAGAACAGTACATTAGAGAACTGATCCTTGGGGTGTTTTTGGGGAGACAGGAAGACTTATTTAACAGCTTCCCACAAATTAGCTCGAAGTGACACACCATTTAAGTTAAGCAATTTTTAAATGCTCCTTTTGATTTAATAAACTCTGAGGTTACAGTGTCTTTCTGTACGGATACAGCATGCATGTATTCTACAGGAACTGTGCCTGTACTTATCTGCATTCGGGAAGCACCACATGCACTGCTGCCTTCTGTGTGCATAGTGTTTGCATGTCTAAACGAGTGTGAGAACAGACACATTCACGCAGCATGTACAGAGAATGACATGCGTGAATAGATGTATATCTGCCTCATACCTCAGGTAGTAAAGAAAGGTTCTCTGGTGGTTATTTTCATGCAGAAAGAAAGCATTACGTGGACAGTTTCATTTTCAAAACCTGAAGGTGTAATGAGTGCTTTTGAACAAGGGACTGTGGCCATTTTTAATTCATCTGAGTTTGAATTGCATAAAATATTTGTATTCTCCTCCATATGTATGTGTATACATATACATATCTATATATATATGATCACCAGCTATAAGGAATGCACACTTTCAGAGAGATGCTCACACGCTGCAAAGAAGCAATAGCCAAAGTTTATGCCATGGACTTCTGAGAAGAAACTGAATTCTTTTGGCTCTCTTGCCAGTGCCAAGCCCAAAAGTATAACACAAAAATCAGCATCCTGAAACACCTCGTTGGTTTCAAGGGAATTCCTAACAATCACACCACTGCCGACATGGGCCCAAAGGAACAAAACACAACACCACTGCAGTGAGTTCAAATTGTACAGCACCTGAGTTCCACTCCCCAACCTTTAACATCTACTCCTCTGTGTAACAAGGATGTGACACACACAAGCATTCATCAGGGTTATAAAAGGTTTTACCCTCCCGTCACTTGGTAGGTGTCAGGATCCATTGATCCCAGGGATCGCAGTTACATTCCAAACCTCATTATGAACAGGTTTTTAATGCAATTAATAGCTTCATCTGCAGCACCCGAAGTGTTCTGCTATACACTAAGTTAGATAAATTCAAAGGATGCACTTTCCCGACCTTGTGGATGAATGCATTGCTGTATTGACTGGTCACAAGCAATATCTCTCTTATTAATTAACTCTTACAATGCACTGATTACTATGCGTGTATGGGTGTGTATGTTTTCTACCAGGCAGAACATCTGTATCACCCTCTGAGGCCAGCTCATGAAGGGTAACAGCCATAATTCTACTAGAGCTATACTAACACATGGTATCTTCCACATAAGCTGCATAATTACTGCCCTTTCATAGTCAGAATACTCCCAAACATGTACCCATGAGCAACCTGTAGCTCAAGTGCCTTTTCAAGTAAATGTGGGAAAATTACCTGAAATTGCTTACTGAAAACAAGCAGCAAAAGCAAATTAATCATAGGCATTCTTATAAGCATATAGGAAAAACTTAGGGCTTATAATCATGGGAAAAGCAACGATCACCTATCAGTTGCTCTTTAAGTCTTTAGACTTTAACTGATAAAGCCTAAAGACTCTATTTAATGTCTATTTTCTTGAGCACCTTTGTCTCCATATGCACAACCAGTGCTGCTCAGATTAGATCAGCTGAAGAAACCTTGCTTAAAAAATAAACTCTCAATTTATTAATGCTATTTGTCTACTTTACCAAAGCCATTATTCTGATTTCATTCATTAATGAGGCCTGAAAACCACTGTGAAACATGCAGACAGGCAGCACAATGGGAATGGAAATACAATTATTAGTAGTAATAGTAATGTTTTAAAAATAGATGCACTTATAGCTTAACAACAAGGCACTTATTTGTGGCAATAACAACAACTTGATAACTTTTTGAACAGGATTATATTGAAGAATCGAGTATAACACAACAAGGTCAGAGCCACCCAAACCAGCCAAGTCCTCACAAACTTCAATGCACAGACATCTGCAGTGAGATCAGGCTGACACAAAATCAGACAGAGAATGAGCCCGTGCTCTATAATGGGCTGCACCTGAACTCAAGCTGCTAGGGACATGGTCGACACAAGACCTTCCCGAAGTAATGAGTATAGCTGGGGAAGGTAGACAAACTGGGTCTACAAACTGTTCCTTGGGTCTTAAACAGAAGCAGCAGACATCAAAGATGAAAACCAGTGTGAGGGGTCCCTGCCTATGGCAGGAACTAGATGATTTTAAGACCCTTTCCAACCCAAACCATTCTATGATTCTATGAATAGTGCTCAGAGTTTAGTTGGATATGGACCAGTTTAGCTACTGTCCAAAGAAAGGGCAGTTGGTGCCCGTGAAGGCAAAAAGAACAGCAGTGATAAAGTATTTATCTGTAGAGGGAAAGAGAGAAGCACAGCTTATGGTCTGTACCACATGGGGAGAATACTAGGGAAGGTGTTGGGGTGAGGGTATGATGCGCTGCATCTCTATTCTGGCATCTCTGTGTGCAAGGTCACTGCAGAGCAATGGACCCTTCACCCTGCAAGGAAGCAAAGCTGCAGTCTATACCCAGATCCTGCATCAGACATCCATGATGATGCCAATGGATCTCAGGTAAGGAATGGGTAAACCATTTCAAATGAAATAGGAAATGACCTGAACTGTTGCTGTAAACCTATTTTTTTCCAGATTCACTGAAGTTTGAACAGCTTTCTTGTTCTATTTTCCATTTTCTTTCAGAAGAAATGTAAAATTGAGGCCTTGACCACTTAAGGTCATTAAAAATCCCATTAACCTTTTCACAAGGTAGGGCTTAAGTAGGGTTAATTAAGCAATATTGCTTCACAAGGGTCTGAAGAAGCATTTTTCCTTCCAGTTTCAACAGATATGCCAGTAGGTTTGCATGCCTCCCACAAGTTTTGCTTTATATTTTGGATCATGTCCCCCCAAAAGAAAGAAAACAACACCATTAAATGGAACAAGCCCAGCAGAAAACCCTGCAAGCCCCAAATCTGACGTGGTTGTAATATACACCTCAAAATGCATGGATTCCATACGTCCCACTGGAAACAACACCCGTGCTCTTTTAAATGAGACTCGGTGGCCAATAGAATGGTTTCTACACCATACAAAAGGGTTTGAAATAAACATATTTGTATACTACAGAAATCCTCTCTATAATGAATTAAAGAAAACACTGAGTCATTTTCCACAAACCATAAATAATCATTTACATTTATTCATTGCTGGGTGCTGTAAGCGTTCTCAGAAAAAGAACTCAAAGCAAAGACAAATCAGTCATAAAAAGTGAGAGAAATATGATAAACTACATATTAGGCCAGAGAAAAATCTGCTGTAGAGAGCTTGGAAACTGTCACCATACAAGAGGAATCTGTGACTTCCATCTGTAACTGCCTTCAATCATCTTCCTCCCTATCCTTCATCAGAACTCCCTGTACACATTATTATTCGAGAGTTATCTACATATAGAGATAATAATAACCAGCCAGAATCCCATTTGCAAGGTGCTCCTTTTTAAATACAAGGGGAATATAACTCAGAACTCTGCAAAACTCAACTTTCTCTTTTCACAGGAGTCCGAAACTGTTTGCAGGCAGAAATGGTAGCAGATGGGTAACATGATCCTCTGTGCCATCAAGTTCTACCGAACTGCTTAATGAAGCTGAGCACTCTTTGGTTATTAATCCTCATGTGTTGGTAAGTCATGGCAAAGCCCCCTAAAAGCATGTAGAAAATAAACTTTTCAGCCTGTTTTGTTCACAAACTTAATGATGTAATTAATTAAATCAGACAGCAGCAAACTCCAAACAGATAACAGGGTTTTTTTACAGTGAACAAATACACTACAGGACTTCCTGCCACAAGATATCCCCGCTAATAACTTAGCCCAACTAAAAACATTAGACATTTATGTGGCCAGCAAGCACATACAAGACCAAATACACAATAACTCTAACATAAAACACATTTTATCAGGCACAGCTTTATCAGAGAGGTGAAGGGGACTGCATCTCCTATAGCAACAGCAACACTGAGCGGCATGTGCTCTTCCATCCCATGGAAGGGTCATTAGAAGGTATATGCTTGGCACAGGAACCTTTCTTCTCCTGAAAGACTTCATATTAAACACAACCATAAGTTGACAACAGCTGCTTCCAGACCAACTTTGGGTGATCTGGGGAAAGCCTCTCTGTATTTCTTTCACTAAACCCTTTAAATACTCACCTACCAGTGCTATGTTTCATGGCAAACTGAGCTGGTGCCTCTGTAGGTTGGTTTGGAAATGGTACGAACGCTTCCTGACAAAGTGAACTGAATACTGCACACCATCTGGGTTGTTTGTGCCTCTAAAGCATATACAAATGAAACCCTATTTATCTAAATGGTTGAACATGAAATCAAAATATCTTAATTCTTGACTTTCCCCTAACTTGGATAGAAGTAGTTGATTTCAGTGACCTTAGAAGTCCTTAGACCACACTGGAACTTCAAAGTTGCACCTATTCTGAATTTCCTTGTTCATCTACAGTTGAAAATAAACAACAACCCCACAGTACCTAAGCACTGTAAAACCCCAACATCCATAAATTACCCAGGTTGGTTGCAGAGATACACAGGGTTCAGGCATACAGGGATGCTGGGGATGGACTCTTCATTAGGGACTGCAGTGACAGGACAAGGGGTAATGGGTTAAAACTTAAACAGGGGAAGTTTAGATTTGATATAAGGAGGAAATTCTTTCCTGTTAGGGTAGTGAGGCACTGGAATGGGTTGTCCAGGGAGGTTGTGAATGCTCCATCCCTGGCAGCGTTCAAGGCCAGGATGGACGAGGCCTTGGGTAATGTGGTTTAGAGCGAGGTGTTCCTGCCCATGGCAGGGGGGTTGGAACTTGATGATCTTAAGGTCCTTTCCAACCCTAG